GTTTTCACTTGAATTATATTAATATTTTCAGACAAGAAAGGATACCTTTGAAAAAATACAAGCCTCCTTCTAAACATACTTCGCTTGAACAAGATAGGCATAAAAATGCCAAATTATCAATTTAAACTATATGTAAATATTATCTTGTTAGCTTTATGAACTCTAGATTATATACATGTAAATCTTTATTATGATAATTTTTAATGTAAATATTTGTTTTTTTAGTATTTATTTGAAAAATAGAATGTTGAAATTATTGTATTCTGAATGTTATTAGATTCATAAAACAGGAATGAGTTTGTTTATATTATTATATTATATGATATTTTAACAATTGTACTTTCAACCATCTGCATTAGTCTCTTTAATTTATTAATATTGACTGAAATTTTCCTTCAGGATGTAAATTTTATTTATTTTATCGAAATGTTCTAGTTTTTTTTTTTGTTTTTTTTCATGTTGAGATTATAATTTCTTTATTTAAACAAATTTTTTTTTTAAACCATAAACAAATTATTCCCATTGCCTATTGTCAGAAATTACCATATGTACATATATTTTTTTCTAATGGAATAAATTCATCTGTGATTATTGTTGTAAAAACTATTATGAAATTATTGTTAAATAAATTATATTTTATTTTTTGAAAATAAATGTGAGATGACTGTTAAAATTTAATTTTGATTATTTAAAAGAATATATTTTTGTTGGTTGATTTAATGTGGTTTTATTTCTATATTAATTGTTACTGTGGCTGGAAGGTTGGGTTGTTTTAAAGATTACTAATCTCTTCTAGACAGAGTGAGATGGTCAAGATTTATTCTATGTTCCAAATAAAACTCTTAAACTTAATTTAAATTAGACCCTCATACCAGATTGAAATGACTAGAAACCGCCCAACGTTTTCGACTACTGCAGCACTTACTAGATAAACGCTCTAAACTTCCAACTATTTACAAAAGACTCATATATATTACTATAATAAGGCCTTTTTGAACTTACAGGATCCAGCTTTGGGGCTCTACTAAACCATAAAATTCCTCTTGTACCCAATCCTTACAATTCAAAATCCTTCATAAAATCCTCAAATCTCCCTACTTTGTCACAAATAAAATCATACATAATGACCTTAATGTACCATATGTTTCCGATTTAGCTCAATCCAGATAGCTATCCTTCCATAATAAATTTCTGAACCATCCTGACCCTCTTGATTCCAAACTTGCTTCCTCTTCTATTCCTGATAACCCTCCGAGGTGTCTGAAAAAGAGATGGGGGGACCTTCTAAAATAGAAATATAATTAGAGTGCTACAAATGGGTAGTTTCTCGTCATATTACTTGTTTCGTATTTACTTGTTGTATTTATCATTTAATACAGTTGTAAATTTCAATAATAAATAATAAAAAAATAATAATTTAAATTAGAACCATTTCTGAAACTTGAATGTTGAATTCGTACCTCAACTTGCATCACTGGCATGGATTAATGAATATTATGTTTTTAAAATATTAAAGTGAAAAAGTGCTATATCTACAACATTGTTATTCTATTAGATTATTCCAAAAATTGGTATGGTTGCTAATGAATTATTACAGCTTTATTTGATGAATATAGATATCTGCTTTCTATAGATGTAGCTCTCTCATTGGTTCCTCGTCAGTGAAGCTAAGGCCCTTAACAAGTAGGATTGAATTACATTTAGGGGGAGTTTACATTTAGGGAGTTTTACATTTACCTAAGTTTACATTTAGGGGTGAGAAAGGGATTTAGTCGATACTTCAAGGGGATATCATCTCTCATGTTATATACCTTAACTGAGGAATTGCCTAAATTATCTACCATAGATATAAGTTCGTGTAATGGAAACCAAATTATCTCCCTAATTTGGAATTTAAGTGAGAGAAGTATTCTCCCATATACATTCATATACAGATTTATGTATAACACATCAAGCTCAAATATTCCACAAAAATCAACAATTTTGCATTGGATATATTGAGTGATTACCAACAACAGAGAACTCTCATGAAAATTTAAACAAAATGTTTTTGTACACATTACTTTGGTTTCGAACACTAATTGATACTTTGGAGAGAAAAATAAGTGTATACCCTTCGTTTTGTCGTCACACTTTTTCAAAAACACAATCTTTCTTAGATAAATGATGCTTGAAAAGAATCACTTCATCAACTTGTTAATATCAGTGGTGTTCCAGCAATTTTCTATTATTATTGGAAGTGTTCCAAAATCAAAAAAAAAATTGGGAACCACTGCTCTAGGATTGTTGACAAAATCAAATTAAATGACATTCTAATATAATGTTATGTTTGCTTAGAAAATATTATTTCCTTATAATTTTATTTCATTGTCTACTTTTTATTACCGATTATTTTTTTCAAAATAAGCAAGTAAATCTTTATGCTTAAAACATAAACAATGTGATATTAAGTATTTCAATTCATGATCACTATGATAGAGTGGACATTTTATGAAGATTCATAAAATTACGTACAAATTTGTTTTGTTTTATTAAGAATTACCGTTAGACCTTAATATAGTGATCCAAAGTTTTGAAACAATCTTTACTTTATTAAATTCCTTTTTGTTAACAATATTTCGCTCAATAGTAGATTGCAGCCACTTGTCTACCTTATCTTGCTGTTTATGTTTAAACAATTTCCTTTAATGTGAAGACGTAGGTCTGTTATGTGCACATCCTTATTTTATTATTTCACTATCATATAAGGATAATTATTTCATCAATTCTTCTTCGGTAAAGTATTCCGTCTACAGCCTGAAAATAATAATTTACTAATTGGAATTCCCTCTGGCGTGGTAACAGGAAGCTGGCTACGATATAAATCTGTTATCTAAGTTTTATGTGTACTGCTATCTAGTTTTATAACAATAAATGTAAACAAAGCCCTATCATACAGTGTTGGCTGAAGAAATATTGGCTCGAATGAAGGAATAAATTCTTTAAAACCTTTTTTGACTATCATCATTATTAAAAACTTTCTTTTTTACTATTGATAATTCATGGATCTAGAAAATGTAATAACAGTATGGTATGAGAGAGTAGATTTCTATTTTTAACCGTGAAGTTTTTGTACGGTTGATTTCAAACCACCAGACCTAGTACTGAAAATAACGTTTTGTGTGATAAAAAATTTAATTTTTCTTAACTTTAATCTTTCTCCCTTAGTCCTCCTTCAGCAAATGTTTGGCAAAGAAATACCAAGAAGTAAACAAAATAAAACAAATTAAAATTTATAAGTTTGGAATTGTTGTTTATTGACACATGTATGAATACAAAAATGTAATATATTTTATATTATATAAATGATGTCCCAAACTTATGATTATTTTGCCATTTAGATCCTAAAATTATAATAATAATCAGTATAAAACTTAGATTAAAATAGAAATTAAATGTTTGTTTTGTACCGTTATTGCATTAAATTAATTAATGGTAGTAATATGCATTAACGGATCCAGGATTTAATTTTGGGAGGGGCTTCCCCTCAAAAGCTTTTTTCTTTATATGTATAATTATTTTGAATGAAAAAGAAAGAAACTAACTACTTATATGAAATGGTGTTAAGTGACTCTTGAAGTCCTATTAAATTGTAATTATAGGTATAATAATATTTTAGAGATAATTTTTTTATATTTTTTCATAAGGCACTGATGCATTTTACCATTTTAGAGGGAAGGGGGCTTCAGCTCGAAAGCTAAATTTGTAATTTTAAAAAATACACATTAAACTGAGCAGTATATTTCATGCGAAACTAAATTTTGTCTAATTGCCAATATCAAGCTTTTTTGCAATTTAAAAATAAATAAATATACTTACCATTGTAATTAAATAAATATTTATTACTACTACTGTCAATTTATTTTATTTAAAAAAGATTATCAAGGCATAGTTAACTGAACATATATCTGAATAGAGAATTACTGAGGTCTGTATGGTACATAAAAAGAAATAAAATCATGACCCAAATTTAACATCTCAAGAAATGAAAAATAATTCGAGAAATCATTAATTAAAATCTATCTCTTAATTATAATAAAAACAGACTTAGGGTCTATTATACTTTTGGTATAAATAGGGTAAATATTCAAGATACAAAAATGATGAAATTCGAATGAATTATGAGAAAAAGATTAACGATTTTTCATCTTGAAGTTTTAGAAATAAAAATATATTTAACTATAACCATTACAAAATTAAACCTTAATGTAAATATACTGGTAATAGATACTTTAAAAGAAATTTTAAACATTATTATGAACCATTGTTTTGGTTCTAATTGTGGATCAAATGGCTTTAATTATCAACAAACTTTAAGCAAGGCTTTATTATTTGGTAATGAGCTGGAAACTTAATATCTCTATTGCAGTGTCCTAGTAATAGTACACTTATCTCAATGTGGACAGTCCTTAGTATAGATAACTAATATGTATAAGAATATATCAAGATTCTCAGTAAACAAGTTGGTAAATAATATAAGATATTATAATAATAAAAAAATGGTCAAAACGAAATGTTAAATGGGTTTTTATTAGGGTTTCTTTAAAATCATAAAATCTAGAAAACCGCCAACAGCTTTTTTTTTTTGTTGATGAATAGCGGAATTTATATAAATTATGAACAATTTTCAATCACTGCTCATAAAAGTTATGATCGTAGATAGACAAATAAAATATGATTTTTAAAGAGTTAAATTATATTTATTTTGAAACGTAATGACTGCTTTTACTCGATTTTTTTTATTAGCAATATCACCTGCAGGCTTTCGGTAGTATCATTCATTGCCCTTTAAGCAAAAATTATAAAGAATAAAAATAAATTATTTAATTTGTTTTTTTAAAAGTAAAATCACAGCAGTATAATAAAAGCAACCCATTTAAAATATCAAACCCCCACTAGCTCATAGTAGATGTTTAATCTCATCATCTTTCTGCATTTTTTTGTAGATAGGTTCTTGCGCCCGGAAACTTCCCCAAACGGAAAACCCTCGAACACGGTGGAACCACTTCCAACACATTAAAGCCCGGAGACTGGCCCTCATCGGCCAGTAGTGCCTAGGTCACTGAAGGCAGCTCAACTCCGATTCTGAAGTAAATATACGGAATAATTTACATATATTATAACTATTAATGTGTACAGTGTTAGTTATGTCTTGTTACGTTTGTGCGAAAACAGCTAAAAAAAAAGTTATAATACCATCGAGGTGTTGTATAATGTCCTAAATATATCATTCACTTAACTGTATTGGTACCAACAGTTTCGGTTTCAGGATGAAAGTATTTTAGAATCGAAATGAGCCTGATCGTACGATTGACAGTCTGTTGTTAGTTCTAACCTCTCAATATTTTATCCTGTCAAAATAATATTCTGATGATTTCATCTTGGACGAAACGTTTTGTTGTTCGTTTATCTAAACGATTGTGATACATGTGGTTAATATAATTAACACATCCCCTTGGTCAATAATTTTATATTAATTTTAATTTACGATAATCTTATTTGTCCCAGATGTATAAAAAGAAAAGGCAAGTTGTTAGATGCTTAACAAAACTTCTTTTTTAATCAACTAATACATTCCACTGTAGAGTGAGAACCTGAAATTCTAGTATTTTTTGTTTCCTCGATGAAAAAAAAATGTCTTCAGAATCGAAAATTTCCTCATGCGTTTAAGACAGATGTCAGGCATATTACTTACTAAAGTTATTCCAATTTTGATGAACTTTTCCGATATTATGCTTAGAAGGTCCTATATTAGCTTCATCATATCCCATCAATTATTTTTATATACGCATGAGCCAATGCATTTTATTTTATGATCATACTTAAAAATTCGATTTAACAATACAAATCAAAGAATCTGATGGCTGTTAAATGTAATAGGCATTGAATTTATGGAGTGGGAGGTTATATATATTTTTTAATCCCGAAAATACATAAACAAATAAAAATTTTCTTTTTCAATATTAAGAAACTTTTATTTGATTACATCGCTGCAGCGTTTCAGTCTCATTGGGCGTTTTCATCTATTTCTTTATCCATATTATTGCCACCTGTCTAAATGTTTGTAATACTATTTGCCAATATCGATGTAGAGATGGTTGACGGTTAATATAATATGAGAAGGAGTTGACCGCACCCTCCGATCAACTCCTTCTCATATTTGTCAATATCCTTTCATTTAAACAAAAAAAAAATTATTTAATAGTAACCAATTTAAAGGTAAAAAAAAGAATTATTGATGTTATTATATTCACGTTTTTCTACCAATTCTGCATTGTTTTTATTTATTCACTCATTAATTTATAAATGAGCCGCTGAAAGTAGTGTAAGTCAAAATTTAAAGCTTTGAGATATTCAACTTCAGGAGAAGTTCTATAAAGTTAGGTATTGGATAGTAACTGGTATTTTTTAATAAGGAATAACATATTCCTTTGTTTAGAAATAATCAAGGATATTTAACTATTTAACACCATTTTGACTAGTGTTGCTCAAAATCGGTCTTGGTCTTGTAGTTTGCAAGACCAAAACCAATTCCCCCTAACTGTTGCAAGACCAAGGCCAAGACTGGTAAAAAAAATCGATTTTTAAATAAAAATTAAGGCAAAATAGTTACTTATACTTGACAATCTTAGTTACTATATGTTAATAATTGGTATAACCAATATACTTTTGTATTTAACTCCTCTAATTTTTCATTCAGGCTTAGGTTTCTTCTATCTAAAAAATTATAGTAATATTTCTATAGTAATAAGCTAATAAGTAACTGCAAGACTGTTGCGAGACTCTTGCGCAAGACCAAGACCATAACTAAGACTGAGTTTGCAAGACCAAGACTCGTCTCGGTCTCGCATTTGGGCAACACTAATTTTGACATAAATTGGAGATAAAACTTCGACATATAAATTGGCTAACCTACCTAATTAAACCAATATTGGTATGACATGTGAAGAAATCTCACCATCTGGGACATGTATATTAGGGTGGAACGAAATATATATTTTTCTACTCTCAACTTTCTAATCGCATTCAAAAAATAACTATTTATCTCAACAAAACTTTGTTGTTCTATATTTATATCTTGAAGTTCCACAGGACTCTTAAAAATAAGGGTTATGTAAAAAAAAAAAATCTATATCATTTTTATTAGCTGTAGAGCCTTCTTTACTATATCAACAATGATATGAAGTTTGGGTGCTCTAGGTTTATGTCTCAATTTTTCACAAAATTTAAATTAACAGACCTTTTAGCTAAAAATCGAAATGTCAGATCCCAATGAACTCTAATTAATTAACATTTTTGGGTTTTGTAATAGGGAATAAACTTTTTTTTCTCTTAAATTTATGTGTCTAACACAATTCTTAAAATAATAATATCTAAAATAACTTAAAACAACTGATTAATAATAATAGTTAAGTAACCATCACTCAATATTTATAGCTCAATATTTATATTCAAAATTTATAACTTTATTCGCTGTTCTATATTTCAACACTGCAATCAACGTGTTCAGTGTCTGTATAAATATAACTTTTCCAACAAGAAATATAATTAAATGACATTCCTCAAAATTATTGAAATTGGAGTTATTCATTCTGTTAACTGTAAGACTCAGAAACTGAAGTTATGTGGTTTATAAAAGCACATGGTGTAACTGTTTTATTTTTATTGCTTACCGTCGATATAATAAATAGTTTTTGATATTTTAATGGTATTAATGATTTGTTCAATGTAATGTTTAAGCTTTAGCTCCGTTTAAAATGTATTTAAAATTTTTTATATTAGCCCAAAATTACGAGAAAATAATTTCTATTCAAAGTAGAGCGGCAAGCGAAAGTTGTGTGTTGTGCGCACCAGATTTTTTAAATTTAATTAACATATTTATATTCAGTTAACTTTCTATATTTCTGTTTTGGAATCAAATAGTTCAGTGGATAAATATGTCCGTATATTTTTAACCTTCCGGGAGAGTTCTTTTCTTTGGAATCTAGCTGATGGTACCTAAAAACCCAGCATAAATCTTTATCCATCGGTGCTAAATGCAACCGATACATGGATTTCCGTGATGGAATTAGCGCTGAGTTTAGGAACTTACCCAAAGTATATAATTTTAGGTGAAAACTATGAAAATAATTCTTTCTAAATCTTACCAACAAATAATAACATAAACATAAATAGTAATAATTAATAAAATTTTAATCCACAACTGTTATTTTTAAATTTAAAAAAACTTATTTGGGGATAAAAGTAACAATAACCACGTCAGAAAAACGTCTCAAATATTTAATATTCAAATGTTTTTCTTCTCCCTCTAAATTGTATGTGAAAAGTGATTTTTATTCTTCTGGATTGTATTAAGCTATTTTTTCTAATCTTGGAATTTGTTTTTTAAGACTGATATTTATTTCCTTTTCTTCTTCTAAGTTTTTAAATATTGATTGATTTGGTTGCAACTAGCTTTTTATTTATTTCTTATTGATTTTAGACGAGCCTAAAAACAAATAAAGTAAAAACATGTATATTACGAGTAATTATTAATATTTGCTGTACCGACTGACATACGTGCAAGGGGTAGTCCAAAGTGAAGGTGGGAAAAAGATTGTTTAATGTCGATCTGAAGGGACCGAAGTTGAGTGAAGTCCAATGAATGAACGGAAAAAAAGGATTGTCGAGTGCACGGAGGATGGACTTTAGGAATTTCTCGAGGACACTTTAGGAGGTAAACATACTAAAAGTCCCCGCTCCTACCCCTTCCGCTTCATGGTGGAAGGCGTCTTAAAGGTCACTTTTCTCATATTTTTTCATATATCTTGAAAATGAGGCGTCGCAGATGAAACATTGTTGTATAAGAAATGAAAGCTGACGAATTTCCTTTAAGAAAGTACATATTTATTATTTTCGTATCTTTTATAGTTTTTAAGATATTCACTAACTTCAATTGCCTATTTTCGAAAGATTTATTTTCGTCTCACGTTTCTTGTCAGACTTGTCTTTATTACACCACAAGTTTTCGTTCTACAAGAAAATTGTCCGAAAGAAAGTTGTATAACATAGTTTTTTCTTTTAATGTACATACCATTTATTAGTTTATCTTTAATGGGTTCAAAGTTACATCAATTTTAAATATTTTGGTAAATTTCATCAATCCTGGAGAATGTACATCTCCATTAATGCTACATATGAAGAATGTATAGTATATGTTAATTTAAATACATAAATTATGTGTGTATATACATATTCCTTTGTTTAGAAATAATCAAGGATATTCAACAATTTAACACCATTTTGACTAGTGTTGCCCAAAATCGGTCTTGGTCTTTTACTTTGCAAGACCAAGACCAAGGCCGCCTAACTGTTGCAAGACTAAGGCCAAGATTGGTAAAAAAAAATTTTTTAAATAAAAATTAAGGCAAAATAGTTACTAATACTTGACAATCTTAGTTACTATAAGTTAATTATTGGTATAACCAATATACTTTTGTATTTAACTCCTGTAATTTTTCATTCAGGCTTAGGTTTCTTCTGTCTAAAAAATTACAGTAATATTTCTATAGTAATAAGCTAATAAGTAACTGCAAGACTGTTGCGAGACTCTTGAGCAAGACCAAGGCCATATATATATATATATATATATATATATATATATATATATATATATATATATATATATATATATATATATATATATATATAATTACAAGTGTAGTAACCTCATGTTTGTAGTTAATTAAGTTTTAGGATACTTTGACCGATTCCATCTCATGAAACAACTTTTTGAAATATGTTCGAACATGCCATAACAAAACAGTATTGATTTTAATGGAAAACATATTTATTTTTGAAAAAAGATAATATTAGAAAAAATCTATATCAATCTCTTAGGTACTAACATATATTTTGAGAAAACTCGGAGAAATAAATTTTGTGACGATCGTACCACTTCTATATGATAAAAATATTATTATTAAGCCTGACTATCCAAACATAGGTTAATGTGAAATTAAATTCAAAAATAGAAATTTTTGGGTTCTTGGAAATAATAATTTTGTATTCAAGTTAATTATTATTAGCCATATTTACACCAATTTAAAAA